CAGAAGTTCGATTCCCAGCCGTCGAACTTGCCGGTAAGTGTAGCCAAGCCCTTAGAAAGCAACATCTGTAATCTTCCCTTACATATTTTTTCCTTCGCCATGTCTGGTAACAGAGTAAACTTTCTCTACCTTGTCTTCCTGCTATCTATGCAGACTTTAAAGGAAATCTTTAAAATAATTTAATGTATTTCTTTTACAGTTGCAGAGGTCTCCTACTGTTTTTCTTACCCTTAGATGATTAATTTTTATGAGACTTGAGGAAACAGGGCCAATATTTTTCAAATGTGGGTACTTAAAATTAGGCACTCAAACCCATATTTAGGCACCTTAATAAGTGTCCTGATTTTTCGCACTGGTGCTGAGTACCAATAATATCCTTTGAAGTCAATGCCCAGCATTTCTGAACATCAAGCTGCTTATGTAGGTGCTTTAACATGGGTATAAAGAGCTGTGTTTAGTTACCTAAGTCTGCAAATGTTGGCATAAGTTTATGTAGCTTGGCTAAGAGACAATGAAGAACAGTCATGACTGTCTGGAAACATTTGAAGAGGGTATACGCCAAAGAAGGACAGGAATTCTTTAGGATGTTACAAGGAGATAAAACTAGAAGTAGTGGAATGAAATGTAGGTTAGAAGAATTTAGACAGAATATTAAGGAAACTCTCCTGACAGTGAGATCTATTTGTGTCTGGAAAGAGATTGAAGCACCTTTGTTTGAGATATTTATAACAAGACTAGATGAAACATTATTAGTATTTATTTAGTTGTGGAGAATAATCTTGCACTGGCAAGGGAGAGATGGATTAGATCACTGTGTAGTTCTCTCTTATTTGTTGGCCCAATTCAACAAGATCCCATGCAGGGCCGGCGCAACCCATTAGGCGACTTAGGTGGTCGCCCAGGGCACTACAATTTGGGGGGCGTCGACCGCGGTGGTATTTCGGCGGCGGGACCTTTCGCCGCCTCTGGGGGGCAGCATTTCGGGGCGGGACCTTCTGCCGCCTAGGGCGGCGCTCCTGATCCCATGGGATTACTCAATATGCTTAAAGTTAGACACATACCCAACTCTAATTTCTTAGGTACATAGGAACATGTGAATTGCCAGACACATGGCGCATCTAATCCAGTAACCTGTCTCCCACAGAGGCTAGTACCAGAAGCTTTAGAGGAAGGTGCAAGAGACCCCACAATAGACAGATGTGGCATAATTTCACCCCCTTTTGCTTCCCCTCCCTGTCTCCCCAGGAGTCTAACCTCCCAACCTCTATATTGCATCTAAATTAATAGGTTTCAGAGTAGCAGCCATGTTAGTCTGTATCCGCAAAAAGAACAGGAGTACTTGTGGCAATTTGTTAATCTCTAAGGTGCCACAAGTACTCCATTCTTTTTGCTAAATTAAGTACTTATAGCCCTGGATAATCCTTGGCTTCAGCATCATGAGGTAGCAAAGAGTTCCATAGTGTAATTGTGTGTCGTGTGTAAATAGTATCACATTACAGAATCAGAGGCTTGATTTCTCTGGTTTTGAAGAAATTTAATTTAAATGAAAGTTGAAGCTGATGTGACTTCTTATTTTTTTTTTTAATAAAGTTACCCTTTCCCCTGTTTAGGATGTCAGAAACAAAGCTGACAAACAGATGTTGATGGTAGATCAGCAGGATTTGGTGGAGCAACTTCCAGAAAATGTATGTGTGTTTATATGTGAGGGTGAGGTTGGGGGGAGGGAAGTTTAATTGAAGAAATTTTTGTTGTATCACAATTTACGCTACCAGGGCTCGTCTATAACTGAGAAGAGATTGAACTAATTCTTATTTGAACACTGAATGGTTTAAAAATATCCTTCTCTTTAAATATGTAGAAATAGTCATGCAAGACTGTGTTAAGAATACAGTTTCCTGTTTTTAAAAATTCAGAATGTTGTCTCTCAGATAAGTCTCTTTTACCAAATGAAATTCCATCAGACTTTCTTTTCAGGCATTTCTGGATTCACAGTATCAAACCTACCCAACTTGGCTCTTTTTAAAATATTAAATATTCTTAAACTGAATTTTCTATTGCCAGTCCAATTAATGTAAAGATCTTCATACTGTGCTTTAATCGATAGCTACTGTTGATTTCAGAACAACACATGCTGCCTTTGTATTTTTTTATTTTAACAATTGAACTATTTTGATTTCTCCTTTCCTTTCTTTTAGGTCCTCAATCAGTTAAAACAATCCAAGTCTTCAACCAAAGCACCCACCAGTTTACATGAGATATCTTTGGCACCAACACCTTCTTATCTTTCTCCAGAGGCAGAGTTCACCAGCCATAGTGAGACCCAATCATTTCTTTCTGCCAGATAGCTTACATTAATGGCAAAGTTATCCCAGTAGTATCATAGCAAGTACTGTCAAAATGAGTTATAATATTCTCCTATAACTGGGATTGTTTTAGTCCTTCTTAGACACGTTTTGCTTTATTCTTTTTATTTTAATGTTCCAAAGGGTCAATCATAGAATCATAGGACTGGAAGGGACCTCAAGAGGTCATCTAGTCCAGTCCTCTGCACTCATGGCAGGACTAAGTATTATCTAGACCAGGAGTTCTCAAAGCCGGTCTGCTGCTTGTTCAGGGAAAGCCCCTGGTGGGCCGGGCCAGTTTGTTTATCTGCCGCGACCGCAGGTTCGGCCGATCGTGGCTCCCACTGGCCACAGTTCACTGCTCCATGCCAATGGGGGCTGCAGGAAGCAGCACGAGCCGAGGGATGTGCTGGCCAGCCTTCCCGCAGCCCCCATTGGCCTGGAGCAGCGAACCGCGGCAAGTGGGAGCCGCGATCGGCTGAACCTGCGGACGTGACAGGTAAACAAACGGGCCCAGCCCGCCAGGGGCTTTCCCTGAACAAGCGGCGGACCGGCTTTGAGAACCACTGATCTAGACCATTCCTGACAGGTGTTTGTCTAACCTGCTCTTAAAAATATCCAATGATGGAGATTCAACAATCTCCCTAGGCAATTTATTCCAGTGCTTAACCACCCTGACAGTTAGCAAGTTTTTTCTAATGTCCAACCTAAACCTCCCTTGCTGCAATTTAAGCCCATTGCTTCTTGTCCTATCCTCAGAGGTTAAGAAGAAAATTTTTTCTCCCTCTTCCTTGTAACAACCTTTTACGTACTTGAAAACTGTTATGCCCCCCCCCTCAGTTTTCTCTTTTCCAGACTGAACAAACCCAATTTTTTCAATCTTCCCTCATAAGCCATGTTTTCTAGACCTTTAATCATTTTTGTTGCTCTTCTCTGGACACTCTCCAATTTGTCCACATCCTTCCTGAAATGTGACACCCAGAACTGGACACAATACTCCAGTTGAGGCCTAATCAGAGCAGAGTAGAGTGGAAGAATTACTTTTCATGTCTTGCTTGCCACAATGTAACAATTTTTTTTAGTATAAAAAGGTTTGAAACATTTTCCCCATTATTTAGTACTCTTTTAAAAGTTTGAAGGAATTTTTCTTTCCATGTTGATTTCCTGTTCCATTGGTAAACAGTAGGGTTTTTTCTCCATTTTAATAATAATAATAATAATAATAATTACAAGAACTTGATCATAGATTGTTTAGTTTTTGTTTGTCAAAAGGATGGTCATTAGTAATATCAGAAGTGCTCTTGTGTCACAAATATCTTGGGCCACGTTTGCTTTTGGATAGTTGCCCTTTGCAGCTGCAGAACAAAAGTGTTGCAACAGTGCATATGACCCATGTCTAGGTCTAAGTGACAAGTTGATTTTAAAAAATCCTGAATGTAAGCCTGAAAAATCCCCTGTGTTTCACTGTCATGACACTGCGTTGTCACATCTAAATGTTTTGTCATACTGATCAAAATCACACAAGTCACATCTCAATTGTGAAGTCAATTTCACACCAGATTCTAATAGTTCTAAGCTCAGATTTTAGGTTGTCTTTACAGTATTCCTCCTACATGACTGTATAGGGATATTGAGCAAGATTTTTGCTCTTTAATTACTAATGTGCATCCTTATTAGATCAATTATATGCACATTTAATATTGCTGACTAATTTCTTTTTCTTTTAATGTTTTTAGGCAATGTACTGCCTCCTCTGTTGCCAGTGGATCCAGCCACATGCCCAATTGTTCCAGGGCAAGAGATGACTATAGAAATATCCAAGGGGCGATCAGGCCTTGGTCTCAGCATTGTAGGAGGGAAAGATACTCCACTTGTGAGTTTAAGCTATTATTCATTACCTTAATTAAGAAGCAGAAAAAATAAGGAAAAGAAAATTTTGAAATAAGCAATACCATATATCCAGTAGGCCTCTGCTAAATTATTCGGTGTTGTGAATGGCATACAGCTGCTTTCATAATAAACTTGGTAGTTTTGCCTGATATGTAAGATTCAGTATTTATTATTTCCTTTTAAATTGACAGTTATATATATTTTCACTACGATCTTCCATTACCATCATAATTGTTTATTATGTACCCCACTTTCTACAATTTAAGCCATGTAAATTAAAGGTTTCGATGAGTTCCCGTTGCTCACTTTTATTATTCCTAGAATGAACTCTATTTATTTTACACATAAGCCTTCTCCCTCTCATTTTTAAAAAAAATAATGAAATTGTAAATTACTGTATTTAATCTGAAATGTCCATGACTGGATCACAAAATGAATGTCACAGCTTCGCTTTGTGCTAACACCTGCATACTTTAAAAACACAAATGCTTATTTTGTGCACTGTTTAAGCAGGACACCTACTAAGTCCCTGCCAGTACCACCCCAGGCTGGACACAGATCGGCAAAGATAATTTTATTACTTTTGTGTGTGCTCCTTGGTTTAGTCTACCCCTCCAGCCATGCTGCTTAAAAAGTTTGATTTTTTTTGTCAGTACCATCCTAATTTGTATTGTATTCAGCACCATTAAAGTATATCATCGATATGCAAGTTCAAAAGGTTAGCTAGCCTAAACTTTTTCTTTCTTGTTTGTGCTAGGTGATTTGCTATTTTAGTTCCTCACTCTTTCTCTGCGAGATACAATATAGTACTATAATTTAACAGACTTTCAACATTAAATTCTTGGTATCAGCAAATTGAGTCTAGAGTTCTCTGTATACAGCTCTGTTGCAGTTTGCATGAGAATTGGGTCATCTTGAATCTTGCCATGAAGTGCGTTAAGCTGATAGAGTTGCTTCGTAATCTCTTTACATACAGTTATTCAAGAAAATACATAGTAATACATCTTTAAGCAGTAAGGTCTGTTACTCTCAGCAGGTACAACTTGAAATATTTCAGAGGAAGTCACATCTTAAGCAAAATATAAATGAGGGACACAGCACAACTGGGTGACTTTGTTTATAAATTGTAGGCCATGTCCTGGTTTTATAATATTAGAACCCAGATCTGAAGTAGTTCAGAATTTTGGTCCCATTTATCTGAAGCTCCAAAATGTGTAGGGTTCCAGTAAATGATTCTCTTTCAGATGGAGTTTCGAAAAACTGGGTTGAGCTGGTTTAAGTTTTTCAAACATCATTGGTTCAGTTTTGGTTTTGTAAAGCTGTGGGATGGTTTATGTCCAAGTTCCATTTTATCAAGATCCCTAAAACTCAGGGGATTCAAATATGGGGTTTTATATTGAGCCATCTCTTTTTGCTGCTTCTTTTAAATGTTTTCAAATTCCAAGTGGCATCCTGTCATAACTAATCCATTATAAATCTTTCCTGAGAATTTCATAGTAATGAAATACATAAAAGTTTCTGCTGAGGGGCAAACAGGAAAACAAACCAACACTGTGCTCTAAATTCAATAGCTATTATAGACTGGATTCTGTGTTTGTTAGATTATTTATTAAAGCGTCCACCTAGAAATTTGTAAAGAAAACAATTTATGAAGTTATCAACTTGCTTTCAGCAATAGAGAAAATCATCGTATGAAGTAAATTTTCAAACATGTCTGACTTCCTTTTTTAAGTTACAGGACCTGCCAAAATAAATCTTAGCTGGTCTTCATCTTGTTCATTTTGAGCATTCAAAAGCATGCAGTATTACTTCATAGTAAACAAGTTGCTCTTATTAGACCATAGTCTGGTCTGCTAATTTACTGTGGGGATCTAAGGGATTCTTTCTTCAGTTACATGCACACAATCTCTCTTCGCTTCAGTGGGACATGCATATGCATAACTACAGACAAATTGTAGACCTAAAGGGGCCAGATCTTCAGCAGGTTTATTTGACTTAGATCGGTTAATAGAGCTGATTTACACCATCAGGTGACCTGGCTCTCCGTATTTTGATGCCATGTTTGTCACTAGGGCAAAGAAATGATGATTGTTTTGTGGTGTGATGGTGAAAACTGAGAGAATAATAAAACAAAACCAGGAACAGTGGAGGGAAATACCATCTGCGTTTGTTAGAAAAATTTCTCCTCCTCCCTCTGGCGCTGTGGGATATAGGGTAAGAACAAAGGAGTGGAACTACTGATAGCTAATTAGCATGCCCCATGCTTCTTTTCATCCTTCATTTTCAATTCTGTGGGATAGGTGGGTAAATTTTATATTTGTAAAGCCAAAATAATTGACTGGTAGCTTCACTGCTTGTGAGTTATTAGATACTCAGGGCCCATAGATATCTGCAGCCACTTCAGGCCTATTTATGTGGCAGGAAATTGTGCCCATGGCCTGTAGTTTTCCATAGTGAAGGGAAGTTAATTTGAAGCTGGCTTCCACAACATGCTTGCATTTGATACTTTAAAAATATATTTTTTTCAAATGCGGCCATTGGGAGTTCTTGAGGTCAGGGAGCAAGCGAACAGGAGCACTCTCCTGTAGGCCTCCATTTACTCTGTACACTCTCATGTCTGAAAGAAATAGGGAGTTGATGTCTTGCATCCCTAGAGTATAAATGCTACAGGTAGAAGATAGGAATGAGATACCTATTGTAGGTGTCACAGAGATGTACTCCATATGGGGATAGGCAAGCAATGGTAGAGCAAGAGCAGGCTTGTGCGAATGGCACTTCTTTTCACATTGAAGCTACTGAAAAATTCCCCTTTGCACTGCTCTCTCAGAAAATCAGCCGGTAGCACATATTTCTTCTTTCCTTTCCTTCAGAGTTACATCGGATCCTCCATGTGTTTTGTGTGTGGATAACTTTGTGGAAACATTTGAGGGGGGAATTATGTAGTCATTGAGTTGTGAATAATAGGTGCTTTAGTGATATACCTTGGCACAATAATACTGTGATGTGCTAATATCACAGCTGATCCATGTCCATGAAGAGCTTGTGTATTTTTGCTAGGGCTGTTAAATTAATCTAGAAAGAAAGCTAGGGTAAGAACACGAAGACCTAGCCCAAAATGTTTTTTAATATATTTGCAGCCAAAATTATTTAATTATTCATTTGCTGCTCTGGTTTTTTTTACTGTTAACACAGTGAACCACAACAGCCTTCCTCATGGAATAGAAATGTCCAGTTCAAAATTATTTTGAAGCTCCTTTAAGTTTATGATATACTGCCTTGGCTTTTGGCATTGTAAATCTGGCAGCCCTGCAAAAATAAGCACCACTTAAAAATGAAATACATTCTATGACTTTTAAGTTATAACCTTGAATATCATCAAAAGTCACAAACTAGAGGCTTTAAAATATGGCAGAATGTTGCAGGGAGGTTAATTTCCACGGGAGATGAGAATGCAGTTTCTTAACTAAAATATTGTTTATCGGAAAGAAGACCTTAATATTCTGTTTAAAAAAAACTTGTCAAGGTGCATGCATTGTAATTGAGTATTCTGGCTGCACTCAAAGGGGAAGCAGGGAGAGCACTAGACAGAACTAATGTAATTGTTGGGAGGACAGATCTGGAGAAGTCAGGATTGTCCTTGGAAAAATTGAAATGTCTGTCAGCATTTTTGTTGGGATTGTCTTCTCTTCTTGGTGCTCTCCTAGCATTTTAGGAAGAGTAGTTAATCCTTTTCATTCTGAGAGCTGGTTTTCCCACTTACCTTACATTGCATCTCTTCAACACATGGTCTCTCCTTTATAACAGTTAAATTGGGGAAGCCTCTGTGTGAATTTGACCCACAATGAATTTTGTAAGAGTAGTGTGGTAAGGCTTCTCCTTTCCTTCCAAGTAAGTCATCTCTGATATAAACAGTCTCCTTTAACTTAGGGTGTGGAAGTAAAGAACAACAAAAAACCTTAGGAACCCACCTGGTATTACATAGCACTTACTCAAGGCCCCATACATCACAGCAACATTGACCTAAATTCTGTGTTAAAGGGCCTGGGTTCTGTGGTGTGTGAGGCTGGAAGTTCTGTGACAGCTTCAGATAAAGTTTTAAAAATGAAGCATTTTTAATTGATTTAAATATGAAAATGAAAAACACAACCAAAAAAGTACTCTGTTAATCAAATTTGGTATTAAGTTTAATTTTATGGTGCCCCAACATTTTTAATTCTCCGTTTACTGAAGAGCACTCTTGAAAATGCATACAGTATCTTCACTGTAGAATTTATTGGAGGAGGAAGTCAAGCTAGAGGAATTGGTACCAGGTAGGGGACAGTTTAGGGCTTTTAGCACCTGGGGAAGCCTTAGGTTGGTTTACTATGGTGAGGAATGTTTCTGATAAAATATTCAGCAATGAAATAGTTAACACTATTGACATTTAAGTTGGCATCATTAAGTTTCAGGGTCAACACCTCTTTGAAAGCAAGTTCACATCTCTTAAAGCCATTTTTTCAGGCTGTTTGCAATGACTACATTGGTTACACTCAGTTGAAGTTTGGGAGGTTTTCTGTACAATCACGAATAAGAACCAGTGCTAAAATTTATTTGTAATGGAATACATTTGTTGAGTTACTCTACTGATGAAGAGCATAATATTGTCCCCTGGAGGATAGTAGTAATATATTGCTCCTGAATATTGGTATAAAGTGTTAATAGTCTATTACACAATGAATGAAACTATAAACAAAAATGGCTATAGAAATCTTATGTTTTAAATCTTTTTTTATTATCCAAGAGAAGAGGCAAATGTGGTTTTGAGGGTAAAATATGTAATTTTAATTTCTTAACCATGCTTTTATAGCCATTTGATGGGTGTAACTAAAATGTCATACTTAACTGATAGGTGTAATCTGAACACTGGAAGTCAGAAGTTGCTTCTAATTATGGCTTGCAAAGTTCTGTGGATTTTCAGGAAATCACTTACTCCCTTTTCACATC